GGGCTAGGGTAGGTTTCAGTAACAATCACAACCGGAAAAGGACATTGCAAGGTAGTGGTTCTACTGGCTCTTTGAAACAGAATCAATCTAGCTAATCACTTTATAGCAGTCTTTAATCTGCTCTCATTCTAACAAGAATGATAATTGTAGTATAGGATTTCTTCAAGTGCCATTCAGTATGACTTTCAATTCTACACTTTAGTATACTGATTCCTAAAGTGGCTGCAATCATATCTCCTAATTTGTGGGTCTTTGGCAAAGAACTTTTGCTACTCATTTGAACCAGGAGTTGGAATCTCTTTCTTATCCCCCTGAATCTGGCTTCCCTCATGACTTGCTTTATCCAGAAGAGCATGGAGGAAGTGATAATGTATGGCTCCAAGGCAAGGCTTTTTGACATCTTACCACTTCTGCTGCCACACTTTTGGTAGGCTCCTTCTTGAAAGACTGTCCTGAAACTGCCATAATATGAAGAAGCCCAAATTAACCCTGTGGAGAGGCCAGGCAAAGGGAAAGCCAGGTTCAGTGGTCAAGAAGCCCAACCAAGCCCAGTATGTCCTCATCTGACCTACCTAGTGAAACAACCACAAGAGTGGCCCCAGTGGAGACCAGCAGTACAGCCATCTTGTCAACCACAGAATCCAAGGAAAAGATAAATCATTACTGTAAGCCACAAAGTATAGGAATGATACAGTACACAGAAGTAGATATAAAAACGTGTACCCTAGCATAGCAGAGCTGTACAGCAGTGAGTAGAAGCAGCATTTATTGACTTGGTTGGTCATCCTGTCTAGGTTTATTACTTACGTGTGGCACAGGAATATCCTGTGTAACCAGGAGCACAGTCACAGGTTCCAGTTTTTGTGTTGCCCTGACCTCCATTCTCACAAGGTCCACAGGAGAACTGGCATTCTGATCCCCAGAGGCCATTAGGACAGGCTTGTAAAAAAAAAAAAACGAAGAGGAGAAAAAGGCCTCAGACTTATAATAAAGCTCAAGATGCTCCCAGATTTCTACTGCCACCCAAGTGAGTTGGTAAATTGTATGTGCGCGTGCATGTGTGTGTGTGTGTGTGAGTGTGTGTGTGAGTGTGTGTGTGAGTGTGTGTGTGAGTGTGTGTGTGTGTGTGTGTGAGTGTGTGTGAGTGTGTGTGTGAGTGTGTGTGAGAGTGTGTGTGTGAGTGTGTGTGTGTGTGTGTGAGTGTGTGTGTGTGTGTGAGTCTGAGCTGCAAAGAAAGAAACAATCCAGTAGCGTTGCCTCTGAGGATTTATAGCACTTCCAAAAATATTCCCTGAAGAAATCAACACGATGCTACATCTTGTCACTTTGGAAACACAGATACAGTGGTTGGATTTTTGCTGAAAATGTGGTTTTTCAGACAGTAACAATGGAAGCAATTTTGATATATATCTTTGGAAGCTGTTGCACAGAACAAAACATGAAAATGAGATGTAATTTGTAAAGGAAGCTCAGGAGGCATGGTGCTCAGGAAGTTGACCCCACGTACTTACCTAAATCCTTGCCTCCCAGTCTTTGCTTCTTTTTCTAAGCTACAATAATCATGCCAGAGGTTGGTAAGTTGTGTAGTTTATGAAAGTGCACAGTGAGTAAGGTGGTGGAAGGGAAATAGTGGGCTGCTTTGTTGAGTGTCCTTTGAACTAGAAAAGGACAGGAGAGGCTGCAGGTGTCCCTGAGGCCCTGTGAGAAGTTTCAGAAAATGTTCCTCCATCAAAATCACTGGAATTAGAAACCAGGTGGAAACTATTCTTTTAACTACAGGCAATTGTAGAAAGTTACATCAAGATAGTCCGTGAAGGATTGTAAGTACTGTGCACAGTCTCTAGTTAACAGAATGATTACAGTTGCTGGGATGTTCATGGCTGATCTGTCCATCACTGACTGTGCCAAACACTTTATGTAAATTAGATCATAGTTCCATAAAAGTTATCCTGTGACCACTTTGTCTCCTTTTCACTTGAGGCTCAGAGATGTTAAGTGACATACTCTCACAAAGCAGTAAGTAGCAAAGTTGGCATTTGAACTAGATTGTCTGATGCTCTCACCAATACTCCCGAGTTACTCTCTGATTCCAAGAACGCAGCACCTTTCAACTCAATTATCCGTTTAGAGACATGCCCAAGCTCAAAATTCGAATTTCAACTAATGGGGAACAACTTTTTCTTTTTTTCTCTTCCTTCCTCCCTCCCTCTCTCCCTCCCTTCTTTCCTTTTTTTATTTAGTAATGCTGGAGATTAATCTCAGGGCCTTATTCTTGATATGCACACACTTACAGCACTCAAGTCACAACTCAGCCCTTTTTCGCTTTAGTTATTTTTCAGACAGGATCTCACATTTTTTCCCTGGGCCAGCCTTGGACCACAATCCTCCTACCTCATCCTCTGGTGGAGCTGGAATTACAAGCATATACTACTATATCTAGTTAGTTGGTTGAGATGGGATCACTCTAATTTTTTTGCCTAGGCTGTTCTCAAACTGCTGTCTTTCTGCATCTCTTGAGTAGATGGGGTTACAGCCATGTACCACCAGTCTAGTCTGTTTTTCAGATACAGTCTTGCACTAACTTTTCCCAGGATGGCCTTGAACTGAGATTGTCCTGCCCCTACCTCCTGAGGAGCTGGACTTACAGATGTGCACCACCATGCCCTGATGTAGAAGTACTTTCCTAAAAATCTGTCTTTCTTATGATGAGATGAGGCTTATATGGATTTTCTCAGATGAACTTCAGAGTCTCCCTGGGCCACAGACTCTTCCAGATTCAGATGTCTGCCTGTAGCTGGGGTCCAAAATAACACAGAACACAAACTAATTGACACAAACCAAACACATTGGCTGCTTTAAAATTTTTTTATTTGCTATTTCACAGGTTAGTTGAAGAAACCAGCTCTTCTATTCTTAAAAGTCATTGCAGATCAGCTAAGTACGGCCTGGTGTTGATCGTGGAGAGTGAGGCTCATTGGTGCCATTGAAACTGGTTGAAATCTTTAAGTATTTATCTATGTTCTAGACACAGATCTGGAGTTAAGATTTTTTAAGGATTCATCTGGCTCTGGAAGCACTTGGACTACTTCTCTTTTTTCATAGGGAAAAAGAGAAACAACAGGCCTGATTTTTATCACACACAACTCTTAAAGAGCTCTTTTTGCCTTGATTTCAACTGCCAGTCATGGCGAGCCCATTCACCCACTCCAGTCTGATTCATAATTTCATTTTGTGGCTAGACAAAAATATCAGAATTGGACAAAGTTATCTGATTGAAAAATAAGATGTTTTCCAGAGATTATGCTGACCTCTTTATTTTGCTGATTTCCATATACTTTCAACTCATTTTCTTTCTCAGTGGGAATCTCAGAAGCATTTTCCAATAAATTATATTCAGCAGCTGCTTTAAGAAATCATTATCAGAGCAAATTAAATTTACCCAGGTGTGTGTGTATGGCATTTTCTCCTTGTGTGTGGACTTCCAGGGCAGGACTCCTCCAATGGGGAAAGGAGTAAAAATCAGTTGGAGAAATTTAGCAAGGGACATGGACTTGTTCTCACTCAACCATTCCTGAGAGATCAGGCTTCTGTTTCCCCAAGTTCCTTTCCCCATGTTTACAATCCTATACCCAAATAATCTACTCTCCATGAAACCTGTAAGTTCCAGGTCCACAGCCTGGAGCAGTGGACTCCTCCTTTCATTCAGCTCCACAAAAGCCTTACAGAATCTTAAGATGGCAAAGCAAGTAGCAAAGAAAGACACCTCAGGGTCCGAGACAAGTTTCAGTCCCAGTGCCTGCCCCCCTAAGTAGACTCAACAATAGGAGGGCTTCTTTTTTTTCCCTTGAGTTTAAACAAGACTATGGTTTGGATCACTGCAAAGGAAAAAGATATCACAGATTACAATTTTTATGATAATTTTATTTGTCGTGTGATCAGTATTTTGCGTTAAAGAGAAAAAGTGCTGTGAGAATTTCCCCTGAATAAGATAAGATTAATCAATGCTTAATGCAAAACACATAACCTAAGAAAACGTATAAACAATAAGAAGGAACCACAACACTTATGTAGTTATTTAAGAAAACATTTACAAAGCAACATCTATTTGTCAGGACTGTTCTAGGAATTTGGGTATACTTGAGTTAACAAAATGATGGATGTCTTTCCCACATGGGGCTCAGCTTCCAGCAGGAAAGGACAGGAAATAGATGTTATACATAATAGTAAAGTATGTAGTATATATTTATTTAATTTATTATTTTTTTTGGAGAAAATATAGAACCATTTTATTCCTAAAGATTTCCAAAAAGCAAGCAGTGTGTGTGACACTGGGGTTTGAACTCAGGACCTTGAGCTTGCCAGGCACTCTACCACTTGAGCCACACCTCCCGCCTGTGTTGCAATCTTGAAGCAGTGAAACTTTCTGGTCCCCAAGGAAGGGGTTGCGATGACCTCAACCCAACAAGACCAGGCGGGACAGCCCTTGGCGGGCCGGAATCCTCCGGGAGATTCGGTGGAGCTCCATGGTGGCCCTCGCGTCTTCCCCCAGCTGGACGCAGTCCGCTTGTTCTGGCTGCGTTTGTGCAGCAGGCCCTCGCTCTGCCCCCGCAGAGACACCGCAGCACCAAGTCAGTGTACGCGTCATGGATGTCATAGTCGTTCACGTCCTCCTTCAGCGCCTCAAAGTCCTGCTTCGGGTCGTGACCCACCCCCAGCTTGCCTTTCAGGAGCTGCAGGATCTCGGGTTTGGCCTCAGCAAACAGTGTGGCTACCGTCAAGTGCAGTGGTGTGAGCCCGGTGACCCGGTTCTGTAATCCGTGATGTCCCCTTCGGGCCGGATGAACTTGTCATGCAGCATGGTGCCATAGAGGTTCAAGATGCTGCAGCGAGCCAGAGCCAGGCCGCTCACCTGGGGGGCCCCAGCCCCGCCATCTCCTCCCGGCTGCCTGCCATGCTTCTTGGGGACCCCCAGATGTGCTGCCTGCTTCTGCGCCCTGGGCTCAAGTCTGCCTCTCTGCTGCCCAAGTATGTGGTATGTTAAGAGACAACAACACTATAGAGAAAATAAAAAAGGTTCAGAGAAACTTGCAGGTAGCATTTTTAAGAAGAGCGGTGCTGATAAGATTCAGCAAAAACTTGACATGAGGTTGTTGAAAACATGAAAGAGCATGCCATGAGCTGGGGAACCAGAGGAAGCATCAGTGATACTCTGGAACATCATTTTCACATTCTATATGCAACTGCACACACACACACACACACACACACACACACACATGTTACTTATAATTGGAATCATATTTACAAAAAACTTTCTACATATAGATTTACTTTAAAAATTATGTAAACTATAGAAACTTGAGAAATAATAATGCTGCTAGTCAATTCAATTTTTCCATGGTTAAGTATCTTTGAGTTGAATTTGTTTGAATAATTAATTTTTACTTATAAAGATAACAATTCTTTCATTCAAGAAACTAGCAATGTCCTTGATTGATTGGTTTAGCTCAAAGAAGTGGTTGTCTAGCTTTAATCTTTCTTTGGGGAAGATTCTCTGCGCTGTGATCTTTTTCCTTTGCTCAGGCTAGGAAAGGGGACTGGTAGCAGCAGAGGCAGAGAAGACAAGGCTAAATAATTTTATTGTCTTGTGTCTCTATTTCTTCACCTGCAATGGAGGATTAATAAAGCATATATACCTCCTGAGGACACTGGTGGATTAACTAATTAATGATCATAGGATGTGAACAAAGGCTGAACATTATTATTAGAGAAGAAAGAAAATCTAACATCAGATTGTACCTTCCTGGCATCTGTTGCCTTGGTAACCAGATTTGCAGGTGCAGCTACCATTTTTGGCACTGCATTCCAGGGTGTTCTCCTCCATACACTGACATTCTGAAGAGCAGCCAGCTCCGTAGGCCCCCTTGGGACAGTCTGCAAGCAGATTGAGGCAAACTGGTCACTGAAAACCACACTTTGTTTATTTTAAACCGTTAGTGCATCGGCATGTCATTCTAGGGGGCCCGATTGTAAAGAAAATAAGGGGATCATCCTGACTGCCAAAAAAAATAAGGAAACAAATGTCTTTCAAATCACGCAATTCATTTGCTTTTTGGCAACTGGACATGAACAGTGGAGCCTGAACTACTTAAAAAGGCTTTGGTGCTTCTGGGAGAGAAATTCCTTCTCAATGTGCTCCATTGGTGCTTATAGTTAATATTCTCTCAGGACTGCTTTCGCTGCCAGACCCCATAGTCATCCTGAGGTAGAATGGAGATGATGGGCAAGCATTTCTGAGAAGGCTTGCCATTGTTTTTACTCTCCCTCATTATATGGTAATCGGAAATATTTTTACATCATGCAGATAGCACAAAGCTTTCATCCTGACACAGGAATATCTTGACCAATCTTTGGCATATGACACTCACCCTCCCTTCAGTATGTTCTCCATTTTGTTAAGTTTTCAGGATGGTAGTCAGTACTAGAAGGCTAACTTGAAAAAGTCCTACCTTTGAATTTACATGTCCATAGTTCTTTCTTTGAGGAGTTACTAGAATAACTCATTCCCTTGCCAAAATATGTCTCTGACAATTTTTTATCTCCCCCATTACAGATGTTTAAGGGACTTATCAAATCAAAGATCTTTTTGAGTGCTCTCCAGACTCAAAGTAAGAGTTTTGTGTGCCTTTATAGGCTAGCTGTGCAGAGCGGTTAGCCTATAAAGAACAGAACACACCACTCGGCTTTCTGGTGGATGGAAAGGGACACCAGCAGAGATTACTCAAAGTTGTGGTTATAATGGAAACACATAGGATAATTCTTGTTCTAGTTGCCGGGGATACTACAGTGTTACCTCTAAGCAAAACAGAATTATCAACATTTAACATTTAACATTGTCCAATTTTGATGAGTGATATGGTCCTCCATCACCTTTTCTATGACTTCTAAATTTTGATTCCTAGCTCAGACCCTTCAAGCCCCAGGTTCTGTGAGGCTATGTTCAACACTGATGTAGCACTCCTCTAGGTCATTCTAGAATATTTGCTCTGGGTTAGCTGCATGCCTTGGTCTTCCTAGGTCAGCATGCAAAATTGTCATTCAGTAGAGAACTCAGGCATAGAAGAATGCTTAAATGTGACAGTTGCGTATATTAAAAACAGTACTGGCGGGTGCCAGTGGCTTACACCTGTAATCCTGGCTATTCAGGAGGTAGAGATTAGGAAGACTGCAGTTCAAAGCCAGCCCAGACAAATAGTTTGAAAGACCCTACCTTGAAACAAAACAAAACAAAACAGAAAACATAGAACTGTGGAAATAATGTTTGGAGAAAAGGTAAAAGTAGAAATAACCTTTATTGGCAATCCAGTGCCTACTCAGGGTTTGTTATGCATTGAAATAAATCCTTCAAAAAATCCCTATGCTAAAGTTCTAATTCCCAGGAGCTAAGAATAAGACATTATTTAGAAATTAGGTCTTTGCAGATATAATTGGTTGAATTAAGATGAGGTCATATTGGGATAGGATGGGTCTCTAATTTGGGGGGATATCTGTGCATAGAGACATGCATATAGGGGAACATCACTTAAAGACTGATATGTGCTACAAAGGGACATGGAACTACCAGAAATAGCTGAGAGACCTGGAGCTGATCCTTCCCTAGCATCTTTATAAGGACCATGGTGCTGCTGATACCTTGAAAGTGCATTCTAGCTTCCAGAACTGTGGGACAACAACTTTCTGTTGTGTAAGCCACTCAGTTTGTGGTACTTGGTTATGGCAGCCCCAGAAAACTAATATAGGATTGTAAACTAAATTTTCTCGGGGCTAGTCAAGTGATTTCATAAATGAAGTCGCAAATCTGAGTATAACGGAGATTCAAAGTACTAGCATGCTCCTCCTAAAGATAGGCACATTCCAAATGCTAACCACCACTCATCACCAACAGTAACAAACCTGTCTGCTGGATTTTCTCCTGAGTTTTAATACCCCACAGTATGCAAATTAATAAAAATATGCTAGGCTGATATTCAAATCTTAAAAATGTCAATTTTATGTTTCTGAAAAGTGAGTTCTTTAAATTTGGGACCAGATGTACTATGGTTTAATTTCTTGTGCTGGAACATCTGATATTGTCTTATAAAATATTCAAAGTTATTACTACATATGGGACATATCATGCTACATTGCATGAACAATAATAGAAATGAGTGTATCTTTGTATCTATGCCAGCCTTCCTCCTTGGCATGTGTTAGGAGATCCATGACAATCAGGAACACACCATTGGCACCTCTATTGCTCACATTCATCAATGCCAAACTCCCTTCTCTTTCATTTTTCTTATCTAAGTCTAACCTTTCCTCATGATTCAGGCTCAATTTTCTATGAAACCTTCATTGGCTCTTATACTGAAGTATTCACCATTTATGCTGATTTTTCCAAGTTACATACTTTGATAAAATATTAAGACCCATGGACATTCTACTAAAGATAAAGTATGAAACTGTAATAGGTATCTTAGATAAGAGATGGTCAGGGTACTACTGAGTGCAATGGTCTGAATGTTTGTGTTCTATCAAAATTCCTATCTTGAAACCCTAACCCTCTAGGTGATGGTATTTGGAGGTGGGGCTCTTGGGAGGTTATTAGTCTTGAGGGTGGAACCTTCATGTTTGAAATTAGTTCCTTTATAAAAGAGACTGGAGAGGCAATTTGCTTGTTCTACCATAGGAGGACACAGTGAAAGACATTGTTTATGAATCACAAAATGCTCCTTTACAAGACACTGAATCTGTGGAGCTTTCATTGTAGATTTTCCAGGCTCTGGACCTCCAGAACTTAAAAAGTTTTGGTGCTTTGTTGAAGGCTCAGAATTTTGTAATAAAGATAAAAAAAAAAACTGAACAAATTTCTTCATTTATAAGCTACCCAGTTTACAGTATTCTCTTATAGCACCCCCAAAAGACTAAGGCACCGAAGTTTATTCAGGAAAGATTTTGAGAAGAGCTGCAGCTTCAATAAAAAGAGGAGAGATATAGGATAGATAGAGAGCAGAGTTGTGGCCATTTCAGGCTCATAGATTTTTGCACACAGTTTCAGGATGGGAGGGTGATTATCCATTGTTCTCCCACTGGAAAAAATCTTAAAGATACTGATAGACTCATATATTTATCCAGTTTTGATGATAGTGTTTTCTTGCATCTTTTGCAAATGTTATTGGTAGGCAGAGTACAAAAAAAACAGAGCCTGATTTAGAAATATCAGAGGATAAAACTAGTGCTAAAATCCAGAGAGAGACTTGTTCTAGGTCCTTGATATTTAACTTCAGTAAAGTAACAAATGTCTACTTAAACAAACTATGAATTAATGAACCCATCAATAGTTAAGTGGAACATTAACTAAAAGAAAGTAAAAAATTTAGAAATATTTTTCTATCATTCATCAAAATCTAGATTTTACAATTTAAAGAGGCTAAATAAATACTGGAACATAATCTTCATATACAGTTATTGCATGAACTGGGTTTTTTACTCTCTCCCTTTGTCTGATATATTCTCCATTCTTTTCTCAGCCACCATGCCTCACACAGAGCAATCAGTGCTTGAGACTTACTCAAGTGACAAAATCTCCCATAGCACCCTGGCTCACACATACAGGTACCATACATCCTGTTACAATGACCATGGTTGGGACAGTGACTCTTTTGCAGTTCGTCCCAAAAAATCCTTTTGGGCATCCTGGAGGGTGGAAAGACAAACAAAGTAAATATTAACCCACATGCCAAACCTGCTAGAGCTGTTATATGAAATAAATAGCTTGAGAGAAACAAGAACACTACAATCTGGTTGGACTGAGGATCTAGAGATCTTTTGAAAACCACACATACAGTTCTGAATCCTCTGCTTAAAATCCTACCATGATTTGCCATCACTACAGACTAAAAATCCCTAAACTGAGCACTATGACCCCCTCCATTGGCCAAGCTCACATTTCACTACCTACTGTCTCCCTGACTGCCCTTGCATTGCCTTCTCTGGGTTCTGCAATACATTGCATACTTTCCTACCTTGATCTGAAGTGCTCTTCCTTCACTCTTCCTTATCTCATCTCCTCTCACTTTCTAGGATTCTGCTTAAGTATCTCCTCTCCAGAAGTCTTTCCCTGTACCCCTAGTCTATAATGTCCCAATGATCTGACTTTGAATCATGCATTAATATGTAATTTGTAATACCTGTCATTTGTAATCTATACTTGTCTTGAACCAGTCTATAAATTCAGCATGGAAGAATCAGGATTTTTTCCATTTCCTTTGCATTCTTTTTTTTCTGTTTCTTTTTTGGTTATAATATCATCATGCCTGGCACAGTTCTTTGTAGCCACTTAGCATATTTTTTAAAAATAAATAAACATTGCTCACAGGGATACATAACTGGAAAGCCAGAAGGAGCCTTCCGGTACCTCAGAGTGTAAATTTGGTTTTCATCTCCCCAGTTCTGTGGACTGTGAAACTCTAATATACTCCCCATTATTTCTGGCAACCATGGAGATTAATAACCTCATTGACCTGCCTTCACCTCATGTGCCTGTACAATTAGTTTCTTTTTTGTGTGCTTTGTCAACCTAAGTAGGAAATGCAGCATCTTCACTGATTTCCATGAAAAATAATGTTCAGTACTAATTGGCATTTTGTGAGATTTTCAGTCATCATTTTTCTCTTCTTCTTTCCTCTCTCCTTCCTCTCCTTTTCTCTGATTTTCATCTCTGTCCTTTTCTATTTGCCTTAGGGGGCTTATTTTTCTTCCTTTTATTATGCAGAACAAATAAATTATTCCCAGGTCCTACATCTAAACCTGCACACTCAAACTCAACATTTTGCCCAGCAAAAAACAAAAGGCTTTCTTTATATCAAGATTCATCCTGCTTAGCTCACAGTTGACAACGTTAAGCGTCACTTATTTTGTTCCATGACACATGGCGTCATTCAGAGCTTTTGTATTCTTGTACATATAGACATAGACTTTCGCTTCTTCAGACAAGGCCACCATCAAAAATACAAGTGCAACTTTCAGTTGGTTCTTTTCAATTAGAAACCCCAAGAAATTAGAACTGGCTCATGTGACTGGTACCAGACATTCCTACCATCTTCACATGCTTTCCCATGAACCCCTGGAGGGCACTGGCACGGCCCAGTCAGAGAATCACAGATGCCTCCATTCTGACATTTGCAAAAACTGTCACACTCTTTCCTGCTGGTCTCTGGGGAACAAGCTGTGAAGAAACTAGGAAAAATGAGCAAGTAGTGTAACTTACTTTTCATGTTACAAACAGAGGAAGAAGAAAAGCTATTCAGATAGATACCAAGTAATTAAAATCTCAGTAGCTTGCAGACCCAGGAAAATCTCTGGCATAGCCCTAGTTTGTAGGCTTAATCATTCCTGCGGGGATTACTGATGCAGCTAGTTAAAATAATGATGACTGAAGGAACTGCTAACAAGGTTCAAATGCAAAATTCACCTCATTCCTTAAATTCTAACCCTTACATTTTCAAAGCTACCCAGACATCTTTGGTGTACAACTCTAACTAATCTTAATGAGAAATAGACTGCTTCTATTTTTGAAAAATGGGAAGAACATGAAGAAAAAATGTCATGTATTTTAAACCAAGAATGAATGCAACTATAGCTCTCTTGAGGGTCCCAGGGTATTTTTCATTGTCAAATATTTATGAAGTTAAACAAACAACAGTTTTCTCTAGCTTGTTTGTCTTCTGAAGTGTTTAGTGTTCAAATAAAAAATATACATTGAAAAAATGTTAATTTTTAACTTGAAGTAAATATCGCTGTCAGGAAAATTGTAGTAGTCATTTTCACTGACATTTTATCATAATGGGTTAAATTTTCTAAAACTACATTTGTATCATCTCCATATATCTCCTCCCTTCCAGCATTCCAGATGCTAATATGGAATTCAGCTTCTTATTCACCTTTACTTTTAAGCCATAGCCTATTATGAAGGGGCAAGGAAAAGGAAAGGAGAACAAAAGGAAGAGAAAGAGACCAGAAGTGAATATTTGTTGAAACCTGATTGTTAATTTATAGTAATAAGACTTTCAATTCTTACAAAACTGTACAAAGGACAGTTCTGTAAAATGAAGGTAAAGGTTTCTGAATGGCTGGTACAGTATATAGTATCTGGATTATAGCAACTCACCCCAACATATGTAAACCAACATAATTATCTACCACCACCCAAGAAGTAGAATATGATATCACAAATGATATCATACAAGGACTTGTAAGATATTTCATTAGTATCATGTAGAGTAAAGATCCTAAAGGAGACAATTTTAAGACAAACATAGCCCAAACCAGAGTGGAATGATTTGGAAAACATCATAAATCTTCTCTTCTCCTACTCTATTCATCATACAAAATTACTTCTCTCTTCCCTCTTTCCTAGATAATGTCACAATAATAAATGATTTCAATATGAAAATTCTTCCAAAGACATAGCGGTTCTAAAACTCTGCTATTAAAATTAAATAACATGTGATTTTTAAATTGTTTCATTATAATTACTTGGAGAAAACCCTAAGAAGTCAAAGTAGATATTTTTATAATAGACCAATAAAGATACTGGGCTAAAAGATCTACTCAGTGGGAAAACCTACTTTCTGGATTCCTGATGAATATTCCTTTTGAAATTCCCCTGGTGCATATTAAAAGCTAGTAACCATGAAAACATGGGCAATAAACATAGTTTAAATCATAGTTTATAGAGATTTTAAAGAAAATATTCCCACTCCTACTTATTAAAGAGTCAGTTGAACCCTTTTCATTTCTCATAGATGGATTTGGATTGTTCTGTTTTCCCTTTTGTAAAAAGAGTGAAAGAGGATAGAGAGGAAGAGCAAACAAAACAGAAGTTCCGGCTTTTAGAAGCAGACTTTTCCATATAGGGTCCTGTGAGTACTTAGGACATCCTCAAGGTTTTCCAAAGCCAAAGAAGGGGCCATCTTGTCTTTATTTTATCAGCTAGCTTAGTTGTAATATTTCTATTTTATTTTTGTATTGGAGATGGTATTACTGTGATAGAGATAGATTTTTTTTATTTTTATTTTTATTGCTACCATATTAGGAATCAAGTGTTCAGAAGATGTATATTTATCATCAAAACTTACAATATGTAAGGTAAATGTTTACTTCCACATAATCATTCAGTAATACCTATTTAATCAAATTTTATGTAGCTAAGTATGTCAATATAGTTGGGAGTGTCAACACCAAGTTCATTTTTCATTTCTTCATTTTTGTAGTCAATGTTTCCAATGTGGACTAATTTACAATGAATAAGCTATGACTAGGATCTGGTCAAGGAGTTCACTCTCTAAAACATGGAGGCCAATCCACTGGAAAGATAAATGCTTGTGTTCAACTGAGACCATCATAAAAATCTTCATGAAATAGGCAGCAGTAGATCTTCGAAAATGGTGGGTTAACAAAAGCCACAAAGCTGAAAAGTAAAGAGTACTAAGTAGTAAGTGGTTGAGTTTGCTGTAAATAATAAGCTGGGTAAAGAGCTGTGATTATGATAAGAAGCAAAAGGGGTTATGAGAGTCTGATTTTTTGGAGGTTAGCAGTGACTGAATAAGCTCACAGCTGTGTGCAGTAAATTGGATCCTCTTAAAAGTTTTAAAACAGCTAAGAAATTGATCAGAGGGATGCCTGAGAAAGATGCTCAGAACCTTAACTAGTAACCAGGCTCCACCATATCATTTATCATGACTCCAGCTTTGCATCTATATCATAGAGTAGAAAATATTTGTACTGTTTTCCTTGCATGCACGAGATTCAATAGAAAATCTGCTCATAGCATCATCCAAGCCAATGAAGATAGTCATTAAATATATGTGAAGAATTTGCAAAGAGAAAACAAGACAGTTGATATATTTTATTTTATCACATTGTATTTCTAATTCCTGAAAGCATACCTACATTTACAATAGAAAGGAAAAGATTTGGGGTTGTAAGTTATTTAAATCTTTGACATTTTCTCATGAGAAATTTGCATAAAAAAGAAACAAATTGGCTGCGTTCATATATTTTAAAAAAGAAAAAACACAAAACAAGCAGCAAATGGTTAAGCAATTTTATTTAATTGCATTTTGTAGCACAATTTTTTTCCTTTTTTCTTCTTTGGGAATAGCTTTCCAGAGTCTGATGATTTATTTAATGGAGGGTTTTTTTTTTAATAGGCCTAGCATATTAGGATTCTTTATTAACTTTTACATTTGTGGATTAACAAGAAACAGAACGTCAGGTTTCCCAGGGAACAGAAAATCTTTCCTTTTAGTCATATGTTCAATTTAAAAACCTAGCATTCATAGGCATTCTTTATGTGCAACAAACCAATTAGCTTCTTGCCCACATCAAACTTTATCAGCAAATTCTTTCCTTTTAGTCATATGTTAATTTAAAAAACTAGCATTTTCATAGGCATTCTTATGCTGCAACAAACCAATTTAGCTTCTTTGCCCACATCAAACTTTATCAGCATGTTTTAGGGTGCATACATTAAGGAAAGCTCTTCACTGACAGTTACTGGTCTGCACCAGTTGTCAGTTTTCAGGGTGGTCACTGTCATTGTAATAGAGCACACTGTCCTGCTGGCAGGAACTCCCACTGACTCCTTCATTTCCTGGCACCAGCCCACCATCATCATCAGTCCTCGCAGTGTCAAAGCTTACAGTCCTGTCCAATGTCTGTTCTAAACAGACAGGAAGTAGTACCAGTGACAAAGCTAAACCAGACCAGAAGTGGTTCCTAGCTTCGTTTTTGGCTCTTAACTTCTACATAACTCGAATCAAACATGAAGTCTTTAAAATTTCCCAAAGAAAATCAGGATCCTTCAATATATTTCCTAAAGGGTCCTAGAAAAGCGGCAAGCAGGAGCTATGTCTTAAAAAGTGCTCATTTCATTTTTTTACAATATCTAATCTTGGATGTAGTCCTTAATGATAACTCACGGGCTTTTTTAGAAAACAAAAGAAAAAAGAATCACCCCTTGATTCCAGACGCACAAAAATAAAACCAATGTTCACGCATTTTCAGTACTTTTCCTGGAGGCTTTTTTAATGCATTATTTCCCCCAGTAAATTTTGTTACTGAAACTTAAGTATACTTGCAGAAAGTACACAAGTCCTCTGAAATTGTAAAACTTCATTTTTTATAACTGAACAACCCGTATTATGCACAAAAGATCAAGATTTACAGAGTCTTTACAGACACCCAAAAATATCAAAAGAATGACTTTGAATGATTCCGCCATTAGGCCTCACAAATTAAACACTATCCTGATTTTCTAACACCATAATCTTATTTTTCCTTATTTTTAAACGTTTAAGTGGAATTGTAAAAGCATGTACTAGACATTTGGGTGGTTAGGTTTCTTTCATCCAATGTATTTGTGGGATCATCCACAGTGTGTATACATGGGTTTATATTTTATTGTGTATAGTATTCCATTCCTTAGATGTTTCAAATATTTCTTCGTTTTGTTCATGAAAGAGGATCTACCTTAACCTGAGTTAGTGTGGAGAGAATTGCTATTTAGGATGTTTAAGGCTCATTTCATTCTCAACTTTCATTTATTGTTTTTATTAGGAGGATGGCGGCAGGCCTTTTAGATCGTTCTAACTATGAAAGTCCTTTTTACCAAGCACCTCTAGTACTCTCATCACCACTGCACTGCTGAGAATTGGCCCTACTCTTTCACTTCTCACCAGCTGTGTTTTACATTTTCCCTGTTCACAGCTCATACACTGGCAAAATGCTGTTTACTGCGTAACAACAGCAGATATTGTGTCTGGGTTCTCTCTTCCAATTCTTGGTCAATAAGTTCTACAGTACATATGTTGTCCTGAACTACTGCTATTTCTGAATTTTGAAGTAGCCAAAAGCATCAAGAAGTTTTAAGATTTCTGTTTTATGAAGAAGCATCTAATTGATATGTCATGATTGTGGACATATCTCAAAAAATCATAACTACTACTTGTATTATTTGCCTCGTAACAGCAGTCATTCAAGCCTTGAATCTTTGTTAAAATAAATGTTGAGCAACAAGTACAGCTCTGTTTCACAAAGGAAAGAAAAGGCAGCTGCAAGACTGGACTACACCCAATTACTTTTGATAGAGTTTGTGGTAATTTATTTTAATTCAGAAATGACTTGGAGGGCTTGAAGCTCTGTTGCCTGGATATCAAGAAAAAC